CTCCTTTCACAAAACAATCAAGTTTACCTGTGATTACTCGCCTACTCAGATTAACTTTCTTGACGTCACTGTTTTTCTAAAAGATGAAATTTTACACACTGATTTGTACAAGAAACCTACAGACAGATCACAATACCTTCACCATAAAAGCTGTCACCCCTCTCATATTAAACGAAACAGCGAATTACATCCCACCAAAAAATGGCTGTCGTTCATGCAATACAAGCCCGTTATCTAACCTGTACATGGTCAGGTGGTTAGGGAGCCCGACTCCCAATCTGCGGGTCGAGGGTTCGAATCTCCGTCCCACCAAATATGCTCGCCTTTTCAGGCGTGGGGCGTTGTTATGTGACGGTCAATCCCACTATTCGTTGGTAAAAGAGTAGCCCAAGAGTTGGCGGTGGGTGGTGATGACCAGCTGCCAACTCTTTAGTCTTACACTGCTAAATTAAGGACGGGTAGCGCAGATAGCCCTCGTGTAGCTTTGCGCGAAATTCAAAAAAGAAACAGCTAACCTGTAAGTTCATAAAAACAACGTTTCAACAACCATAAATCTTCTATTAACACCGAAAAAAATTTCACTATTGCTCAACGCATTAACCAACCCAGTCATTCCATTAACGATGCTACTCTCATCGGTATTGAAACAGGATTCAAAACTAAAGCAAATATAGAAATAAAAGAAGCTTATTGGATTGCTAATCTAAACACTGTTCAACCTTTCGGAATTAATCTAGATCCTAGTATCAGTGATCTCCGTTCATTGGTTTCATCTCTGTCAGAAAAATAATTTTTCTTCTTTGCTTATTTTTTCTCATGTAATGGGAACGCTGAATTTCCTAAAACTTACTATTTATTGACGATAATTTTTCATACCTGTTTTTTTTTCATAAATTGATTAGCATAACATATCTTTTTCAATCATTTTCAATGTGTCCTCTATATTTTACTTAAACACGTAAGTATAGTTTTAGATATACATATATTTATCCATTTTTAAAATAAAATATCCCTAGCATCTTTTCACAGACACTCTCGCCATCGGCTACATCGTACCAGAAATGAGACGCTTACAACAGTAC